TGAATCACCACCGCATTAAGTGACCACGGAAATATGTTCCCTCAGCCACAAAAGCATCCAAAAGATACTCAGCTTTAAACATAGAGCCATACACAAACAGCACCAACGCTAGATCACCAAGATAGAATCAGCAATTAGGAATTTTCCTTCTCCACTTCCATACTAGAAGGCCAAGAGAGTTCAGAAATCAGTTAAGAACATGGGAGAAGACAAACAGAAGTAAGACAGGGAAAGAGAAGCAGAGCATACCTTCCCTCTTCCATTTGCAACAGATTCAATCTTCAGGAGAAAAAGAAGCCTTAGAAGAAACTAAAGCAAGTCTGAGGCTTTCATTATTAGCCAGGACTGAACATTTTCATTTTTAATCTCTCTTTTGCTATTGGAAGTGATCAGAGAACTGTATATATTAGCCAAGAATGTTGTACCGTCTCCTCACCGAGTTTTTATCCAGGCCAAGGAAAGAACTCGCCCCTGATTTAAAGTAGCAATGAGGTCTAAAAGTAAATGTTGCTTTGTAACTGTGCACTACAAGTTCACCTTGACAATACATACTAATTATTTCTAAAATCTACATGCCCAATTAGCTGAGAAAATGCTATAAGGAATGAGTTGCTTATTTTCTCTGTGAAGGGGAAAATATCTAAGGAGTTAAATATTTTGTTTCTCTTAACAAAATATAAAGTCCAAACTGAACTTCTTTCAAGCTTACTTGTAACATTTTTTTCAATATAGAAAGTCCTCTCTTTAGTACATATTGTATTAATGAAAACACACAGAAAATCAAGTGGAAGAAAGTTGAATGCTGGGCTTACATATCAGAGACATGAAAGCCGGCTCCCTAAGAGACAGAAAATTTGTCCAGTCCTAAATTATACCACGTTTATTTTTAGTCATAAAAATCTTTGACAATAAATTTCTAGTATTTCCTTTGTGATTTTTCCATTCATAGTCAACATTTAGTTGACTGGTAAAGTCCAATGATACTTGGTTGAGGTTGATTTCTAATGTAATTACAATTGTCTTAGGTTATTAAGCTTAGTACCCATTATTTCTTAAGTGGCATCAGCATTTTGATTTTTTTCCATTTGCTCTACTTTTAAAAATAAGAGGAAATGCAATAAACTATCCAATAATTGCAAAGTATTTTTTCACTAAGATGTCTAAGTGCAAAAAACTGCAGTGTGATGATTAATAGATCCTAGTGTTCATCTGTTAACTACTCCTTTTTAAGAACTTAAAACTTTACACAATTATAAAGGATAAAAGTTATGAACAGCCCGCAATTTGGGGAAGAGGGGAAATTAAGTTGTATTATTTGGTTTAAGCAATTTACACCCATACATGTGCTGGTATTTATGTGTATGTATGAGTTTATTATATTGATAAAGTATTTTTTGTTCAAAGTGTTTTAAATAACAATGGCATTTATGGCTATCAGTGTTCTCATTCAAGTAGATGAAATACTGATTTTTAAAAAATATTTTTTGTTTTTTTGTTTTTTTAAAACTTTGGTGTTTTTAAAAATTTATTTTTTCAAATACATTTGTCTCCGCCTATCCCCCAGAGCTTTCCCCTGCCCACCTCCCCTCCCTCCCTCCCTCAATCCTTCCCCACTTGGGGTTTGCCCATGAGTCCTTGCTAATTTTTATTTATCTCACCGTTAAACTACCTGCCTTTCTCTTTAAAATAAAGCAAGCCCGTAGAGCTTTTCAATATTTTTCTTAACATTCTTCTGTTCTTCTTTATTTCAATAGATAATTTTTACTATTATTCGTTCAATACATGGTCTTCTGTATAAAACTAATTTGCTGGAAAAACCCTGCTATTCTAATATAATACAATGAAACAGGACACCCATCACGCAACTTTTAAGCAACAGCCTTTGCTGTCACAGAGAAGCATTTTAGCCCAGGCTACACAGCAGAGCGTTACAAGGACAGGCTCCCGGGTCAAAGTACTTGTGTTCAAACTGCAGCTCTCCCACTCCCTTGCTGTGTGACCCTAGGCAAATATGTTAATTTATTTAAGGTCTGATTCTGAAACTACAAAATAAAGATTAAAAATAGCTGTAAAGGGTAAATGTAATGAATGCTTAAGTGGGTAAGACATTTAGGAAAGTATCTGGTATTTTAAGTCTTTTAAAAAGTATATTGGCTGCTGTTTTTATTTCTGGTATATACACGTTTAATACCCTAAGACAGGAGTTGGCATATTACAGCCCACTGGCTGAACCCTGCCCGTCACCTACTCTTGTAAGATAAAGTTTCATTCGAACAGCTACATTCAAGTCATGACACATGGCCTACAGCTGCTTTCCTGCTATAATGGGACAACCGAGTAATTGTAACAGAGGTCAGAGAGCCCACAAGGCCTAAAACATACAATCTGACTTTTTCGTAAGAAATTTGCTGATCTGTAAGTAGGAAGATAAAAACAAACAAAAATACAATGCTATAGAACGATTAAACAGATGGCATAACAGGAGCAAGATAACCAAGCTAACTGATTTCCATCTAAGTCAATAAATTCAAAGCAATTGACAAAAATATAGCTGTTTTCCTTTCCCCACAAAAAAGTAAGCATTTCAAACCTAGAAATGCCCTCATAGGTTCTAAGATGAAGTATTTTTTCACAATGGCAGTCACTGCACGGGTACCTGGATCATAAGCAAAGCATATACTTCTAAAATAAATCATACTGAAAAGTATATTTGAGAAATATCTGTGTAAAAGAAACTGTATAAGGTACCATAAAGAATTCATAAATGCTTTGAAAGAGTAAACTTAGAACACATTCTAGTTAGCAAATAAATAATGTCTGAGACGTATCAAAAGCAAAGTTCAGTGCGTTTCACTATAATTTCTATATTTTTAAAAATTTATGTAAGTAAAATCAATTTCTTTGATCACTTATAACCTACACAAATTGAAAAATTCAAAAAAGTATTATCTGGAGAACCCTAAAAATTCTACAGAAAACTACTAGAACTGACAAATGTATTCAGTAAACAGACAGGATACAAAATAAATATCCAGAAATCAGTTGCATACATAGAAAATGAACTATCAAAAAAGGAAACTAAAAAAAAAAATCCCATTTACAATTGCATTATAAAAGATGCCTAGCAATAAAATTTAACCAAGAATGTAAAAGAACTGTACTTGAAAAATTGTAGGGCGCTAAATAAAGAAACTGAAGAAGATACAAATAAGTGGAAGCACAAATTGTGTTCATGAATAGCAAGGATTAACATCATTAAAATGTCCATACTACCTAAAACAATCTTTAGCTTCAATGCAATTCCTATCAAGATACCAGAGGCATATTGCACAGAATAGAACAAATGTTCCAAAAATGTATGGAACCACAAAGATCCTCAATAGCCACAGGAATTTGAGAAAGAAGAACAAAGTTGGAGGAATCATGTTAACTGAAATGAAACTCTGCTACAAGGCTATAGTAACCAAAACAGCATGGTACTGGCATACAAAACAGACATATAGATCAATGGAACAGAATAGAGAGCTCAGAAATAAATCCACATCTTTATAGTCAATTAATATTTGATGAAGGAGGCAAGAACATACAATGGGGTAAAGATAGTCTGTTCAATAAATGGGGTAGAAAACTGGACAGATATGTGCAAAAAAAAAAATGAAACTATTCCACCTTCTTACATGATACACAAAAATAAACTCAAAATGGATTAAAGACTTAAATGTAAAACATAAAATCATAAAAATCCTAGAAGAAAACAGGCATTAAAATTCTTGACATTTTTCATAGCATTATTTTTTCTGATAAATCTCCTTGGGCAAGGGAAACAAAAGAAAAAATAAACAAACGGGACTACATCGAACTACAAAGTTTTTGCACAGCAAAGGAAACCATTAATAAAATGAAAACACAACCCAATGAATAGGAGAATATATTTGCCAATGACACATCCAAAAAGGAGTTAATATCCAAAATTTATAAAATTATAAAACTCAACACCAAAAAAAACAAACAATCCAATGAAAAAATGGGCAAAAGACCTGAATAGACACTTCTCCAGAGGAGATACAGATCGTCAATAGACATATGAAAAGATGCTCAACATCACTAATCATCGGAGAAATGGTAAAATTAAAACCACAATGAAATATCACCTCACACCTGTCAGAATGGCTATTATCAATAAATCAACAAGTGACAAGTGTTTGAAAGGACATGGAGAAAAGGGAACACTCGTGCACTGTTGGTGGGAATGCAGATTGGTACAGCCATACTGTGGGAAATAGTATGGAGTTACCTTAAAAAAATAAAAAGGAACTGCCTTATGACCCATTGATTCCACTCCTGGAAATATACCCGAAGAAACTCAAAACACTAATTTGAAAGAACATAAGCACGCCTATGTTCATTGCAGCATTACTTACAATAGCCAAGATTTGGGGATATCCCAACTGCACATCAGTAAATGAGTGGATAAAAAAGCTGTGGTACATTTACACAATGGAATATACATGACTATAAAAAAAGAAAAAAGGAAGGGAGGGAGGGAGGAAAGGAAATCTTACCTTTTGTGACAGTGAAATAAGTCAGCCAGAGAAAAACAAACACCATATGATTTCACTTATATGTGAATCTAATGAACAAAATAAACTAACAAACAAAATAGATTCAGACTCTTTGATACAGAGAATTAACTGACAGTTGTCAGAGGGGAGGGGTTAGAGGGGCTGGGTGAAAAAGGTGAAAAAAATTAAGCTAAATAAATAAATAAACCCTCACAGACACAGACAACAGTATGGTGTTTCCCGGAGGGTGAGGAGGAGGGAGGTAGCAGAGGGTAAGGGAGAAATAAATGGTGACTGAAGGAGACTTGACTTTGGGTGATGAACACACAGTGCACTACACAGATGATGTATCATAGAATTGTTCACCTGAAACCTATATAATTTCATTAACCAAGGTCACCGTAATAAATCAAATAAAAAAATTTTTAAATGTATTACCTGAATTGGATGTTCACTAAATGAGGCTGGGAGCCATCTGATTGCCAATAAGTTTCTAGATTGTCATCTCGTAACTGATCCACTCCAAATCCTAAAAACACCACAAGTGACAATGAATTCTCATGCTAAAGAAAGAGCTATATATTCAAAATATAAAATTACTCTATATGCATATATATATATAGGCTGTCCAAAAAGTATCAGCCATGTACTATGAAAAATAGAGGTATTTATTGAAGAAGATACAAGATACAAGAAACACTGTACATAGGAGAGTGATGCCTCAGTCCTCTTTAAAGGAGGCACCTTGGGACCTCACACAGTTCTCCCAATCACCATCAGCTGCCCCGCATATTTTCCTGAATCTCATAAATGGTCTGAAATCTCTTCCCTTTCAAAAGAGACTTTAGTTTTGGGAAAAGCTGCAAGTCACAGGGCACCCAATCTGGGCTGTAGGGGGGCTGAGTCACCTGGGTGACTTGATGTTTCACCAAAAAACTCTGGAAAAGACATGAGGCATGAGTGGGCATGTTGTTGTGATGAAGCTGCCAATCACCAGTTGCCCATAGCTTCGGCCTTCCGAATCACCCTAATAGTTTCTGTGTAGGAATGGTCGAGCTTAATGCAAAACTTGATGCAGATTCATCGCTCTACTTGCTCAGCCATTTTAAATGCAACGGCCACACAGTGCACATGCTCACTCAAGGGCGTCCACCGTCCCCACTGACTAGTACAGTGAAGTCGTCCCTATTCACGGCCCAGATGTGTATGGGAGGCAACCAATCAACGTTCCTCTCTGGCATCGATGTTTCCCTCCCTCTCTCTCTGCCTTCCTTCCCCTATTTCTAAAACCAATGAGCATGCCCTCAGGTGAGGATTAAAACAAAACAAAAAAAATGTTTAATTGCATAAAGGATTGGAGGAAGGAATTGGAAATACGTTGTTGAAGGAGTCACAAACCATACCTACAGTGGTATAATATTACTTGAAGGTAAACTGTGATAATTAAAGTTCTATATTGTAACCCTTACTTAGGGCAAACACTCAAAAATATGATGTACAACTAATAAGTCAATAGTGGAGATAAAACAGAATTTTAAAAAACACTTAATTTATCTGAAAACAGGAGGGAAAAAAAGGAATAAACATTAACAAGAAAAAGATAGAAAAGAAAATAAATTCCAAGATAGTAGTTTTAAATCTAATTATATCAATAAATACATTAAGTATAAATGGTCTAAATACTCCTAATTAAAAGGTAAAGAATGTCAGATTAGTTTTTTAAAAAGCAAGACTTGCTAATACACTGTCTATAAGAAATCCACTTCCAATATGAAAGTAGTTTAAAAGTAATATACAGATGATGTATGATAGAATTGTACACTTGAAACCTGTACAACTTTATTAACCAATGTTACTCCAATAAATTCAATGAAAGTTTCTAAAAAAAGGAAAAGGAAAAGAAGAACTTCCAGTTTTCATTCTGACATGTAAAGAGCTTGGAAGATGTTCTCATTGCTCACAACAACAATAAAGAAAAAAATGAACTAACTGAAAACCAGTAATTCTTCTTAAGTACAACAGAGAATTGAAGTCACAGGACAAACCACCACCCAAAAAACTGAAGAGAGAGGTGAATGCAAAATGTTAGCTTACAGAGAGCACAAACCATCTCTACAGTTGGCAACTGGTAGGAAAATTTAAGAGTAATAACTGATTGCTAATTGACTAATTGCTGGAGACTGAGTGTGGACTAGCTTGAGACAGAAAAACTCCCAGAAGCCCAGCCTTAAAAGGGCCCCACACTTTTATGAATTTTATCTCTAGGAACTCACCAGATTCTCCTCTGGGTGAAGATCAGAGAAAGTTCCCCAGTGTTCCCTGCAGATGCAGGGGGAAAGTAGACATTGTGAAATACGCCCAGAGCATTGTCCTCCTTAACAAAGACTTCAAAAACCGTTCTAGCATAGCCTAACTGACAAGGGGAGTGAATACACCCAACTCCAGTCTCCTCTAGCCTTCACCGAAGAGGGGGACGAAAAGGTGAGAAGCACTTGTCAAGGTCACAGCCATGAACACAGACCCACTAAAAGACTGGGATGTAGTCACACAATTATAGAAACTTGCAGTTCCCCCCAACAACTTACCACCCTATCAACAGGATATATATAGCATATAATTGATACAACGTAGTTTCTAGCTGGCATAACTCAGGAAAAAGAGAAAAGACACAAATTACTTGTATCAGAAAGGAAAGAGAGGCCAACACTACTGATTCCATGGATAATAATAAGATACTCTATTATAAGCAACATTATGACCATAAATTTGACAACTTGCAGAAAATGGACCAATTCCTTGAAAGATACCACCTACCAAAATTCACACAAGTAGAAACAGATCATCTGAATCTATTACAGAAATTGAATCAAAAATAATAACCTTTCAAAAAAATCACTAGGCTTAGATAGTTTCACTTGTGACTTCCATTTAAGGAAGAAATGTTTTAATTCTCTACAATCTCTTGCAGAAAATAGAGGGAGGGGAAAAACTTCCTGACATATTCTATGAGGGCAGCATTATTCAAATGCTAAAACCAGACAAAGACCTTCAAGCAAGGGAAATTAAAGAACAATGTGTCCTCATGAAAACAGATGCAAAAATCCTCAAGAAAATAACTAGCAAATGGAACCCCTGTATAAAAAGAATTATATACCACAGTCAAGTAGGATTTATTCCAGGTACAGAAAGCTGGTTCAACATTCTAAAATCAAATAATGTAACCCATCACACCAACTAAAGGAGAAGAACGATTTGATGATATCAATAAATGTAGAGAAAATATCTGACAAAATCCAACATCCATTCAAAGTAAAATCTATCTGCGAACTAAGAATAGAGGGAAATATCCTCAACTTTACATACCTAACAAGAAAAGAGCAGCTAACACCAGGCTCGATGGCAAGACGCTAGCTTTCCCACTAAGATCGGGAATAAGACAAGGATGTCCCTTCTCACCACTCCTATGCAACATATTGGAAGTTGCAGCCAATATAATAAAACAAGAAAAGGAAATTAAAAGTATAGCTTGGAAAGAAAGAAAGAAAGAAACCCAATAGAACCCAGCAATTTCACTCCTAAGTATTTACTGAAAAAAAGTGAAACTGTATGTCCACTCAAAAATCTTATGTTTCTAGCAGCTTTATCCATAATCACTAGATATTAAAAGTAACCTTATCTAAGTTAACTATTGCTGCATAACAAATTATCTGAAAATTTAGCAGCTGAAAATACCAAACTTGCATTTTTTCATGATTTCTATGGGAGAGGAATTTTGGAGCATCTTGTTTGGGCAGTTTGGCCCATGGACTCTGACGAATTTGCTGTCAGATTGTCCAAAGCCATTATCTGAAAGCTTGACTGGAGCGGAAGGATCTGTTTTAAGATAGTTTGCTCATGTCACTGCTGACAAGAGGCCTCAGTTCTTCATTGGCTATTGCCAGGAGGCCAAGGTTCCTTGCCACCCTCCTCCTCACACAACGGCAGCTGGCTCCCCCCAGAGACAGTGATCCAAACGAGAGTGAGGGAGAGCCACAATGTCTTTTACCCTTTAGCTCAGAAGTCACACACCATCATTTCTGCCATATTCTATTGATACTGTTCAAAGAGACCAATCTGAATACAATGTGGGAGGGGTCAACAGAAGGGCAGGAAAACCAAAAGACAAACGTCATTTTGGAAGCTGGCTACCAGAAAGCTAAATGTCTACTAACTGGTGATCAGTTAAACAAACTATGTTAGATCCACACAGTGGAATAGTAGTCAGCAATAAAAAGAAACAAAATTATGTTACACATAATAGTATGGAAAAATCACAAACACATTATGCTAAGTGAAAGAAGCCAGGCCCAAAAAGCTGTAGACAGTGCGATTACATTTCTATGTCATTCTAAGAAACACAAAGGGGCTCAAATCAGAGGCAGTCAGGGGCCTGCGGGCAGAGGGAGCAGGAGAGCGACTACCAAGAGGCACGTGGGAATTTCTTTGGATGATGGAAATATTCTGCAGTTGACTGTGACAGTGCTTCCAGAACTGTGTGTTTATTAAAATTCATAGAGCTATATGCCTAAAAAGGGTAAGTTTTATTGTAAGTAAATTATACTTCCATAAATTACTCATAAAAAGAGAGAGAAAGGTATTGTGAGGAGATAAAGAAGAGGCTTGGTTTGAAAGATGACTACAGGAGTCTTGATGTGAAGGAACTGCAAGTAGTGGACCAACAGCATTAATAATTAAAGTTCGTAAAGCCAAACATCTTTCTCTGAGCTTGAGTCTACAGATTGAAAATGCCCATCAAATGACAGGTTAAAAAGATGAGAAAAGGCACACATGTATCCTGGCATATCCTGGAAAGGTCTTGAGTGCTAAGAATAAAGAGAAAAAATGTAAATGTTTCCAGAAAGAAAGAACAAGTCACAAAAAAGAGAGAGAGCGCACGAACAAGCGAGTGCGCAGCACAGGCCTTCTTATTTGCCAACATGACAAAAAAGATAATGGTGAAATAGCATCCACAAATTTTTGAGAAAAGGACTGACACTTAAGAATTCTATCCTGACCATGAGTAAAATAAAGATATTTTGGGATATGTAATCACTCAAAAAATGTATCACCTACCTATCCCACATAGAGAAATACAACAACAACAATAACAACAAAAAATGCTAACCAAATAACTGAATCATAGCAGAGACAGGGAAGGATAAAAAGGAGACCTTATGACGCACGCAGTTAAACTCAAGTGGATATTAGAGTGGAGCCACTGGGAAGACATATATACTAAATGAAAACTCGATTAAATTTAGCACTCCAGAACACAAGCAAACTGTAAGCAATTATTACAAACAGCTTGTTTTGTTCTGTTTTACCTGGTTTGCAAGACGAGAGTGACCACACAGCTTGTGATCCAATTTCCCGTACTGTTCCAGTCCTTTCCAACTGCTTAGGGTCAGCACCAGGAGGTGTTTTGTTTGGTGTGGTCATTTTTAAAATATTCTATGTAGGAAAAAAAAAGAGAGAGACAGAAAGAATATCCACATTATACCAGCACCTCAGCATCTTCTTACAAAAGGTTAAAATAAAAACTGACTAGCACAATGGATCATTAACATATTCTTCATATTAATCATCTAATTCTCCAATGCAGCAAACATAACTCAACTGCTGTAATTTTTAAAATCTTGGGAATTGTTTTTGTTTCTAAAATATATCATGTGCAAAGCAGCAGAGTACAGTAGACAAAGGGGCACAAAATCAGGGTCTTAGCTTAAGTCTCTCCTTTAATGAGCCCAGACATTGGGCAGGTCTAGATTTTATTTCCTTCCCTGTCAAAGAAGTGACTGGATCTATAATTCTATAATGCTATAACAGTTCTATACTTCTATGAGCAAAAATTCTTAATTCAAATGACTTGCTTTCGCAAGAAAACTCAGATTGAAATATTCCAGAAACATGTGACTATTAGTCTCCATTTCAAATACTCCATCAAGTGATGCAGAGAAAAATTACATGTCCCCACTAGTTGTGAAAAGCTCCACTGATATGTGCTCTTACCATAGAAGACAAAGTCAGAAAAAATGGCTTCAAGGTCTAACTGGCCTATTCTAAAAATTTACTTCATCTTTCACATCTTTTGTTAGTCAGTCTTGTAAAGTCTACCCAAGTGTAGGAAAAAAAGGTTCTTGGATAGTGACCGATATTCAAAAAATGTCTCGGAAATGCAAAGTTATCGCTACTGAACATCGTTATACACGCTGTTACAAACTTGGACCAATAGTTCTGTATACCATCTCCTTGACACCTCCTACTAGATCTCAGTTGTTCCTTAATCCCCACTTACTCACTAAATAATAGTACAGTCACTGAGCTGTAAAATTCGTAAAGGCCTAAAACTTAAATGCTCAATTAGTGATTTACTGAATGAATAAAAGGATGAATAAATAGCTTCAACCATACACTAAAGTACTTACCACCTGCTAGCTAACTAAGATCTAGAATGAGACCATTAAACCTCTGACCAGCATTACAAGCTGAACGTCCTGTGTCCAAAAATGTCAAAAGGTCAGAAAAAAAAAAAAAAAGGGGGCCCATTTCTCTACTGGAGTAGAATTCAACTGCCAGACTTGGTATTGGACGCCACAAAGTGGATAAAACACGGAGATCGTATAAAACTGGGTTCCTGGCCACACAGTTCAGAAGGAAACGAAACGTTACGAGGGGACGCCAACGCGAGCTGCGTCTGGACCAGACTGCCGATCCTGCTTGACACCTGTTCTAGAGGTGTTCAAATGGACAATGGCTAAGGTTCCACACCTGACCCACAGGCCTTCAGGAGATTGGGAGCGGAAAAAAACATTGAGGTTGGGAAGAGAATGCATGTGCCTACGCTAGAACCATCGTCCACGTCGGGGAAAAGCTCACGCACTTACAGCCTGCAGACCGACTTTGCCGCAGCTCAGGGTTTGAGGATTTCCTGCAACTCCGCGCCACTCCCACTCAGTTTTTGGACAACCCAGCTTCCCAAAGAGGTTGAATTGGAGTCGCACCACAATGACGTCACCCTCGCCGTCGCGCCGGGAGCTCTCTGTCGCGTGCGCACACTACGTCCCTATGGCATGCGCGAGGCGGCGGCTGGGCAGCGCCATTTTGGCCGGAGGCCGTAGGAACACGTTGTGAAGCTAAGAAGTGACGGCAAAAGCTGATTTGGCCTCTGCGCTCCCCTCCGAGAGGGGATTATTCTTTCCAGGTACGTAAATAGCCCGGAGGGATTTGGCCATTAGCTCCGGTCTTCCACGATTTAAAGATTGTAGGGACGTTCTCCGAGAACCTTTGATTAGGCCTCAGGTGACAGCGATGGGGACGGTAGAGGCGCGTGGCAGTTGGCTTGAGTGGGATGGGACAGCTGGAACTGCCGGAACGGGGGCGCTGGCGAAGGCACGGCACGTCGCGCTTCCGCCCCAGCTGATCTGGTTCGTGGCCGCTGTTGCCCGCCACCTCCATCAGAGGCTACGAGAACGGATCTAGATGCCATCTCAACGATGCGCCTCCACCACTTCCAGTCCCCCTTTACCCGGCCCCTACCCTAGAGCTGAACCATCTAGAGAGGAAGGCACCTTCCCGATTTACAGCACCTCCCTATTAACCCCATTCTTTCCCTGACAGAGTAGGTGTATTTTTACATGTGCGTGTTTGATTATGGGGAATAGTGGCCTTTTCTTGTGCCGTTTGATGACTATAGAATCAGTCATGGCATCCTGATGCCATGAAGTTGAATACTCCACGTCAACTCCCAGCCTTTACAGAAACGAGGGCCGTAGCTCGCTCTACTTTTCTCATAGAGCAACGTGTACCCGGCTGTAACGGGTTACCTCAGATAACGTCTTCGTTGAACGCTTTGAGCTTTTTTGGTGCTCTTTTATAGCATTCAGCATTTCTGGCCTGGATGACTATACCCTCTTCCCCTTAATTATATTTCAGACTCCTTGAGATCAGGGGTGGGGAGGCGTCTTAACTCAAAATGCCTTTATTTTCTTTTCAGTGGTTCCTACATTGTAGTCACGACATAAGCCTATTTTCTCTCTCTCTCTCTTTTTGTGGTTAAGTCGATAAAAGTGAGGACTGTCAAAGCAATGTTTTATTTTTCTTTTATCCTCTCTTCCACAGGACTGCTAACTAGGCATTAATGATCATGGTATTTGTGTGCAGTCCTTGGTACATTTGTCCCGTGTACTGAGACTTCATTCTATACCAGCTACCTGTCAATAACGCTTAGTCAGTGTTAACCAAAGGCTCTTAAACTGTATTTGAATCCAAAAGGTTTCTTTTATTTTAGTTTAAAACCTTGTTCTCCCCTATAAAACAATTTTTTTAGGAAGGACATTTAATATAATTGCTGGGGTTTTCAGAAAATGAAAGCAATATTAATTTAATGCCTTTTAAAGTCTTCAATTTAAGACTGTGAAATCAGAGTTGTGTACCACTCCCAACTTACGTGTTTTATAAGACTAGTAATCTATAGTAATCATGGGTTAGAATATTTAGTATGATTTTAAGCATCATTCGTTAACAGCGATCTTTAAATGCTTTCACGCAGTATTACAATAATTTTGGTCTTAGTCTACAAATGCTTTTCATGTAGGCTGCGCGTCCCTTTTTCCTCTCAGCTGGAGGAATGACAGGCAGCAAGGGTCATTGCTTGAGTACCTATTTTGGACACAGTTTTTCAAATCTGAAATATCTTCAACCCTCTTTGCTCCCAGGAATAATTTATTAGCTTTTTATGTAAATCAGCTTATTAATGACCTCTGGTATATTTTTATTTCTCTATGAAAATCATTATAGTCACTCAGTTTTTAAAATGGTTTGAAATACTAGATGAAATATTTTAGTAGTTTGGCAGATATAAAGTTTAATTTAAGCAATGTCATGATAAAAGATTTATCTCCTAGAGAATTCATTATGCTCATTCACCAGGTAATTTATCTGGTGCCCAGTTTTATTTTAATAGCTAACTAAAAAGTCTTCGCTTTATAGAGAGTTGTCACTTCCAGAATGATAGCTCTTTGGAGGAATTCAAAAATAATTTAATTTCTCCCTCTTCTGTCTTTATGAGACCTGGACCATATTGGACTTAGACTGTAAACAAAATAAAGTGAACCTGTTAATTAACATAACCTTGTGTGTTACATAAATATTTAGTCTCCTTTTTGGTGATTTCTTTTTGTCTGTATATACTATAGTGGATAACTGTGACTATGAATTATTGGTAACTTTAAAGATTTCTGAAGTTATAATCTATAGGAAAATTATTTACTATATTTAAATTAATACCTTCATTGATTTAGCCCCTACTATGTGCTAAGCACTGGGACTGAAATGAACAAATGGACAAAAATCCCTGCCTCATGATGGAGTACATTCTACTTGGTGAGGGTAAAATGTTGTCTGTGTGTGTAGAGAGAGAGAGAGAGAGAGAGAATATATAAAAATATATGTGATAAATGTTTATACCATATATACATATATGTGAAATACATATAAGCTTTTATCATGGAAAGAGCTAAGAAGAAAACTAAAACAGGGAAGAGGGACAGAAAGGCAGCTGGATATATTTTTTCGGTAGTATAGCTAGAGAAGGCAGGCTCACTGAGAAATAAACATTTAAGACTTGAAGGAGTGAGCCATGTAACTCACGAGGGGGAATAGCATTGCAGGCAGAGGGGAGAGAAAATGCCAAGACCAAGAAGCAAGAGCATGTGTGGCATGTGCTAAGAACAGCAAGGAACCAATGCAGTGGGCAAAATGAGCAGCTAGAGTAGTTGATGATGAGCTCAGAAGTTAACAGAGGCTGATTAGTGCCTTGTTGGTTATTTTGAGGACTCGGCTTCTATTCAGAGTGAATAGGGATTCCATTGCAGGATTTTAAAGTAGAGGGGTGACGTGAATTGGCTTACATGTTAAGAGAATCATTCAGGCTCCTGTATTGAGAAGGAACTGTCAAGGCTTGGAACAGGAGGTAAGAGTAGAAGCAAAGAGATCTGTTGGGAAGCTGTTAGAGTAATGAAGTTACAAGCTGTTTTGATGGAATGATATTCACTGAAGCATGGAATGGATTCCAGAGAAAATACAAATTCAAAACAACGGACTGTAGGTGACCCTTCAGTTAGTTTTGCTACAAAAGAAAGAAAATACAAAGCAGTGAGGGATGGTGGGGTCAGATAATAGAGTGTTTGAATACTGAGGGAATAGGCCAGTGGAAAGAATAGTTGATGGTGTGAAAGACGGGAGGGAGAACTGTTGGGGCAGTCGCCCTAGTGGATGTCTGTTAGTGTGCAGATGGGCTGGGCTCTGGGAATAGGGACACTGGTTGCTGGTTGGCATGAGGGGTCACTTGACATGACACTAGTCAAGCTTTGTTATTTCTCTACCCATTTTCAGCTGAATAGGTGCATGTGAAAAATTGCATTTAACCAGGATTGTAGTTTAGGGTATAAATGATGGAATGGAATTTTAGTTGGGTACATTGGAAATGAAGCTACGAAGGGTTGAGAAAAAGTGAAAATGTGGTAGAGTCAAGAGATGGTGATCATGGGTCTGAGAAATGGGGGAATTCAAAGAGCTGGATTGTCGTGATTGAGAGGGTCAGCTGAAAAGATAAGAGTGGTGCTTGGTGAGCGAGGTATTTGTAGTGGAGGCTAGGGAAGGACTGCAGTGACTATTGATAAGGACAAGGTCAAGGGTTTGACCGAAGGAAAGAGTGGCTGCGGCAGGGCGAAAGACAGGATCATTGGAGGGGAGGGGTTAATGACCATACTATACCAAAAATTATGACAGTAGTTGAAAAAGAGGGTGAAAGTTAGCCAAGGTCTGAAATCCCCAGTGTTAACTATTCTCTATTGTAAAAGCTGAGACATGTCATTCGGTTTGTTGGGTCTTCTGTGTTTTTCAGTGGTACTTGGAAAGTTGCCTCACATTAGTATGTCCTAAGTTGATTCCTCGATCTCTTCTTTTTGTGTCTGAATATTGAAGATGGTGTTTTTTTTTCTGTATGTAAACTTTTTAATTAATGGTATGTTTTCTTTTCCCAACCTTACTACATTATTTTATTACTTTTACTGGGGTTTTTTTTTTCCTAGTTCCAGATGAACTTTTCTGAATATGGTGATAATTTATGTCCTCCTAACTTTTATGCCTGACTTATTTCTCAATTAATTTCATTAATTATGCCATAATTTTTAAAATTTTTCTTTAACAGAAGCTGGATATTCCTACCTAGAATTATGGCAGATAAATTGACGAGAATTGCTATTGTCAACCATGACAAGTGCAAGCCTAAGAAATGCCGGCAGGAGTGCAAGAAGAGTTGCCCTGTGGTTCGAATGGGTAAGGCGTGCCCTGGAGCTTCTAAGAATGAGAGATTTTAAAAGGAATAAATTGGCCTAATGGTGCTCTGGACTTCAGCCATTGGTTATTTGGAACTGTAAAGAGAAGACCAGATTTTATTCTGAATTTTTTTACTGCTGTATAACCACATGATTCTGTTTTTTTAATTACAGGATAAAGTATTAGTATCAATATTTTTTAAAGTTTAATGAATATAACATCAAACCAGAGTTCAAGTTACTGAGAATATTACTGTTCTACAAAATCCTATAATAACACTGAAGTTATGGAGAAAGGACTGCCAGTATGTTCAAAATTGAATAAATTTACAGCAATTCAGAATTGATGAATTATTGGTAGTCTGTAGAACTCGGTTAAAGTAATTGTAACTTTAAATGTAGTAGTAAGGTATAGGCTTATTGAATCTTAAAAGACACTTTAGGTGTCATCTATCACAGTGTGCTGTTCAGAAATTCCATTGTTAATATCCCGGTCCTTATGGAAATTTTAATTCTGTCTGTATATTAGATGGCTGCTTAACTTTTTAGAACTTCACTGATCTCACTAACATATTTGATTCCTTTCTCTGGTATACGTTACCTTCCAAAGTAGATTTTGTAAATTAAATATTTAGGTTTGTCAGCTTAAACATAAGA